AGTGATTTTTTTTGTTAACAATTTCCTTTTACATAAAATATTTTGGATTCACGATTCTTCAATTAAAAAAAAATAAAAAATAATTAACATGTTATAATAATAATTTTAAATTATTATTATTTTATTAAATTTTTTTAATATTATTATATTAATAAAAATGAATTGAGGGAAAATAGTTTATCTTGGAGGTGTGAATATATCACCCCTCAAAACTTCATCGACCATGATATATAACACCTTCATGCAAAAACCACCTCCAAAACAACTCTAATATATTAATATAATAATAGTAAAAATATAAGATAAAATAAAAATAATTTAAAATTATTATTATAATATTATTGTGGATTGTTTTTAAAGTTATATATTTTAGGTGGTAACAATATCATTTTTCAAACTTTATTAATATTTATCAATATTATATTATTAAAGGTGGTTGGAAAATATATATGTTTATAAAAACTGTGGTATCCATTTATAATTTTCCGGCTAAATATTTAATAAGAAAAGTTATATTTTGACAGATTTATAAATAAACAACCTCAACACAATCCACTTTTATTAATATAATAGTTATAAAATAATTTAATAAAAATGAAAATAAATGAAAATAATTATTATAATATTAATAAAAATAATTTAAAAATATTATTATTATATCAAAGGTTGATTTGGAAAGTTGTTTCATTTAGGAGTGTAAAAATATATTTTTGATTTAATAAACATTGCTTCTTCACACTAAATACCTTATACTGGCACATTATTCAATGGTATTATAACAAACATATGCTTATATAACATTAGCACTTATTAAAGGTAACATGAAGCATTAAAGTCAAACACACTAATCCAAACCTACATTTTGGACACTCCAGAAAACACACACGTTTATATCATCAGTACTTATTATATGTAACATCAAGCACTAAAGTCGCACATTTTTGGACAATCTAGAAGAGAACACGCAGAGCTCGCAGGAATTGAAACACAACAAAAACAAGCACAGCAATCCCCACCACAGTGGAACTTGCTCTCCAAAGGTCTCTGAAGTACACCAACCTCAATGATGCCATGGTGTGGTACCATTTATTCTTGTAATGCTTGCTGAGATAATTTATAGTCTCATAGTAACACGTTTTGTTTGTCACCACATGTTTGCATAAACCATTAATAAGAGATGTCTCTAATTAATACATAATTAGTGGCAAGGTTATCAGAATCGAGAGTCAACGTTGACTCGCGAGAGCTTCGTAGACTCGACTCGTAAACCCGACTCGTAGACTCGTAAGAGTCTACTTCATATGAAAAATTCTATATAATAATATAAATTCAGAATTTCATCATCAAAATTAATGAAAATAAAAAACAATAGTTCAATAATTCTAAAATAACTTGGTTCAACACACATGATTGTTATATAAGTTCAAATTACACCAAATACATAAGTTAATACAAATCACCAAAACATAAATAACTTCAACTTTCTAGCTCCAATCCTCTAATTATATCATCTCCAACATCATCATCTTTTTCATCTTCATCATCATCTTCTCCATCACCATCAACCTCTTCCTCGGATGATAAGAGTGCATCATCAACATTGGCATCAAACACTATATTATCAAGATCAATTGGTTCTAAAGTAGGATCAATTGAACTTATTTCAGCTATGTCAACATTTTCCTCATCACCTTCACCTTGAACTGGCTCAATCCCAACATTATCACCATCTTCCGTTATCCATTCATCATCGGACTCAATATCATCAAATGGGAGAGCAAGCTGTTTTCCTATTTTGTTTATTTTTGAGCTTCAAGTTGTACATGACATAAACCAAGTCATTCATCTTTTTCTCGGTGCAAACGGTTTCTTCTTTTTGTGTGAACCTATAAATAAATATGAATGTTTAAATACAAAAAATTAAAAACAAATAACTTAACAAATTTGACTTACCATTTCAAATGAGCTCCAATTACGCTCACACCCGTAAGAACTACAAGTTAAGTTCAAAACTCGAATAGCAAATCGCTTCAACTCCGGAGTTCCATCTCCAAACATTTCCCACCATTCTCCAGGAAGCATAACTTTCCTACAATCTTTTGCATTTTCCATTGAGAAAAGTCCTTTTGCAAAATGAAACTCTAGAAGTTGTAAATTAATTTTTTTCCTTTCGCAACATCCTTGACCAATCTTTTCATGCATTCATACAACCCTTCTTTTACCTCCACATCATCATTTCTAAAATTAGGTTCATAGTGCATGTGAGGGTTAAGGTAATATGCAGCCGCATGCAAAGGTCTATGAAGTTGATTATTCCACCTCTCATCAATTATGTTCCAAACAGGTTCATAACTACAATGATGCAATCATGCAATGTTAGAAATAATTACACAAAATAAAGAATGAAAATCGAAAAAGAGAAAGTTTATAAATTTTACCTTTTCTTAATATTATTAAAGTTAAATTTGATCTTCTCTTTGGCGGAATCCATTTCTTCATAAATGAAACCCATTGCGGGTTTTATATCTCGAATCCACTAATCGAAGGACCACCATCAAAGGGGCAGCAACTTTGAGACAAGTGGTTACATTCTTCCGGAACCGACTATCTAATACCACATGCTCAATTTTTCTCCCTTCCATTGAAGTTCCAAATTTGCTTGATTTTCACTCATTAGAGCTAAAGAAGCTCATCAATGATGCTTTCAATTCATGAAGACATGCAAGAGTTAGATAAGATGTGGCAAATCTAGTCATACCTGGCCTTATCAAGTCTCTACCTTTGGTAAACTTCTTTAACATGCTAATTAGCATTGCTCTACCATAAATGTAGGTAGTGATTCTTCTTCCCTTCTTGATAGTAGTTTGATGGACCTTCAAATGTTTTTCAAAATCTTCAAAAATCAAATCAATGCAATGGGCAGCACATGGGGTCCAATACAAATGCTCTCATTTTTGCATCAATAACTCTCCAGCTGCCTTGAAATTTGCAGCATTATCGGTAACCACTTGAACCACATTCTCCTCTCCAACAAATTCCACTACATCATCCAACATCTTAAACACTTTATCTGCAGTTTTTGAGATATTTGATGTATCCAATGAGTAAAGAAACACAGTCCCTTTAGGACTATTGACTAGAAAGTTACAAATAGAACATCTTTTTTTGTCAGTCCATCCATCAGACATGATTGTGCAACCTGTTCTTTTCCACTCCTCCTTATATTCTTCAAGGATTACATCAGTTTTTTGCACTGCTTGTTTCAAAAGTTTTTCTCTAATATCATGATATGATGGGGGTTTGTAACCAACTCCATATCTTCCAATCATCTCACACATTTTTGCAAAAGCAGGATTTCTAATAACATTGAATGGAATGACACTTGTGTAAAAAAATTCCGCCACTTGAGCATCAACTTTTTCTTTATCCCCTTTCTTATACAATTGATTTAAAGTAGATTGAACACCTTGACTGAATTTGTCCTTTCCTTTATTTTTGAACATCATACTACTACTACTTTGAGTGGTATCCACCTCTTGAATGTGCTCATCATCATACTCATCAATTATATTCCGTCTCCTTTTCTTTTCTGAAACATCTTTAGCCTCTGCCACAACTTTCATCATTACAACTTTCACTTCTTCTGGAACTGAGGCACATGGTTCAGAATCATATCTAGTACCAGCAAGATGATGTTTGAATCTGAAAACTCCTCCATTGATTATTTTTGAGCAATAATTACATTTAACTTTTTTTCCATTACCCGAAACATCTGTTCCATGTTTCCATCCAATGTCGGTCCGGTTTCCTAAAGCATTTTTACTTCTAGGTCTAGGAGGTCTAGGTAGTGAAGATACATTAACATTGGAATCACAAGAATTTGAAGCAGTCCCACTTCCAGACATTGCAAATCAGTCTCAATTAACTAAAAATAAAATAATTTATTTTTTTAGAACAACTATAAAAAACAACTAAAATAAAAGATAAAATATGCAACAAAAAATAAATTCAATAAATAAAACAGAGAATAAATTATATAAATACTACCTATTCAATAAATAAATAAATAAATAAATAATATAAAAAAATTTAACAGACTAATGAATAAAAAAAAAGTTTCAGTTAAAAAAATGCATTGCATTTTACGTAAATGTAACGCACACACATCCTCCTCACACTCACTTACGCAATACCTGCGACGCGACGCGACCGGAGCCTGCACAGGAGGCGACCGGAGCTGCGACCGCGACACGAGACGACGACGCGTGGGGGAACGCGACGCGAGCTGCTGGGGGCGAAACGCGACGCGAGCCGCGGGGAGGGGGGCGAAACGCGACGCGAGCCGCAAGCGCTGAGCTGCAGGGCTACGCGACCAAAACTCAACGCGCGACACCACTGCGGGGACGAGGGAGGTAAGATCTGTTCGATTTTCTCTTCTTCTTTTGGGTTTCAATCGTTTAGGTTTTCGATTTGGGTGGTTAGGGCTTTTGTTTGGATTTAAAATCGAAATGGTAACGACATTTTTGTTTGTCGTTTCGTCATCCCTACGAACTCGGTGACTCACTCTCAAACTCGCGAGTCTATTCCGAGTCAGCGAGTCTATTCCGAGTTTACTCCGAGTCAAACAAAAAACGAGTTTACATGCGAGTTCACCCGTAAACAACAGCTTGACTCGCTGACTCGTACGGTGTACGAAGTCAACCCGCGAGTACGATAACCATGATTAGTGGCATATCTATACTATTAATCTTGAAGGATCAAATAACATATTATTAATAAATAATAAATAAATATAAAAAAAATGAAAAGGTGAAGGAATAAAATTATAAATATATATTTAAATATATTAAATCATCATTAAGTTTAAGAAAGATAAAATCATAAATTTTATGAGAGTTATAAAATTGAAGAGAGATTAAGAAGATAAAATTATAAATATATAAATTAATATATTAAATATTTATTAAATTTAGGACCAAAATAATAAATTACAACAAGAATTATAAACCACATCCATCATTGTGGATAATCACTTCCTTCTCAACCAGCAACTCTACGTCAAGCTGAGTGTGGATAAGAGAGTCAATAAGAGACACATATTTGCAAATGTAAGGATTCTCAGGATAGTGGCACTGCTCAAAGGCAATGAGGTTCCTGAACACACATTCAGTGTTGTGGTCCACCTTCAGTTGTGGTATCCTAAAACGTGCCTTGAAGTGGTTCAAGCATGGCAAACAACCAAAACAAAGACAAACTCAGAATTGGATTCTTCTCAAAGGTTATGTCTAGCAACCTTCTCTTCTCATCACCTTTCTCAAAGCACACTCCTGAGTCTTGCAACTTTGTTGCGGTTGTTAGAACATCAGAATAGCATGATCATATTTTTTCTCAGTGGGAAGGTAAAAACTCCTTAGCAGATCAGTGAAGTGTGCAGGATTCTCACTGCAGCTATCTTTTTGCTCTTTGGTTTACAAGGTTCCTTGCAGCTGCAGAGTAAGCAACATAAATTTTTTTTCTTGGTTATATTTTCATGAGAAGAAGCCATCTGACTGTCATAGAATGCAAAGTACTCGATGGCAAGATCAACAAAGCTAGCATGCTTCTTGTAGCGAGGAGGGACAACCTCATCATAGAGTTTCTCCCACTGCAAAAATATAATTTTTAGTGATAAAATTTCAATGACAAATATAAAATTTTTCACTATATATTATATTATTTATTATAAATTTTTAATTTATCATAAATACTATTATATTAGTGACTAAATTAAGAATTATCATAATAACAATATAGTTATTAATATATATATATATATATATATATATATATATATATATATATATTATTTATAACAAATTTTTAATTTATTTAAAAATCATTCCCGTAATCTTATTAAAATTGATAATAATAATAATATATTTGTCATCAATATTATTAATATAATATTAACATATTAATAATTAAATTAAAAATTATCATTGTAATTCATATATATATATATATATATATATATATATATATAATTTTAAAATTATGATTAAATTAAAAATTATTATTATAATTTTATTAAAAATATATCAAACATATATCATAAATAATTAGTTATAAAATCAATTATTTAAATAAATAAACTAAAAATTATTAATATTGTTATTTGAAACCTTAACAATTATAAAACTTAAAACTAATTATTAAAGTATACATATTATGATTTTGAGTTTAACTTAGTTTTATATCTTTAATAAATCATATTATTTATAATTCTTAAATTCAAAATTTATTTCAATAAATAAGAAAAAAATATCACTAGTGAAAAAAAGGGTTTTTACGTGTCATCGCATGTAAAAATATTCGACGTAAATAAAACGTGGTGGCAATTTAGTAAATAAAACGTGGTGGCAGCTAGGTGGTGCGACGTAAAAGAGGCTTTTTACGTCGCATGCTGGGGTGCGCGACGTAAAAAGTCTCTTTTATTTCCCTCCCAGCCCACTCCCTGGTCTCGCGCAGCAAGGGTTTTTGAGAACGACGACGAGAACGACGACAACAGCTACCTCTGCACACCATTTTCGATCAGTTTGACAGTGAAAAACATCACCATTGTGTGTCATTTTATGAACTTGATATTTCTCCCCGATTGGATTCGAGTTTGAAATCATTTTTCGTCTACACTCGAGGTTAGTGTTCTATGTCATTGCTATATGTTTAAATTGAATCCGTGATTGTTTTTGGGGATCTCAATCACGTTATTGTATGAATGTCTCCACTGGATTGTTATTGGAATGTAATTATTTGTTTGAGTGCATTTTCGGTTTACACACTCCATTTACGTGCTTTGTTGTTTGTATATTAATTTCTTTTTACATATAATTTTTAAATCTCTAGGAGTGACGAAACTTTATAACATAATATGAATCGAAGTTGGATGAATGCACATCGTATTAATGAAGAGTACGAAAAGAGAGTTGAAGAATTTTTGAAATTTGCTAGTGAAAATGGAAAAGCTATGAAAGGGACATATTATTGTCCATGTGTTTGTTGTTTGAATCAAATTCGTCATAAACTTGAGGATATATGTGATCACTTGTTTGTTTATGGTATTATTAAGAGTTATACAATATGGACATGGCATGGAGAAATATTAGACATCCCAACTGTGTCAACTACAGACAATTTTGATGAAGGGATGGATGATAATCTAGAGGATATGATACGTGATATTGGTGAAGAAAATTTTATGAAAGCACGTCTATATGATTCTTTGAAATATGATTTTGCGCAACAATTGTACATAGGATGTAGTTTTACAAGATTATCAACAACTTTAAAATTGTTTACTTTAAAAGCAAGAAATGGATGGACTGATAAAAGTTTCACCGAATTATTGGAGTTGTTGAAGGAGATGCTTCCTGAAGATAATACATTACATATTCGTAACTATGAGGCAAAGAAAATATTATGTCCAATGGGTTTAGAGCACAAGAAGATACATGCATGTCCTAATGATTGTATATTGTACAGAAACAATTTTGCTAAATTAAAGATGTGTCCGACATGTGGTTTGTCGAGGTTCAAAAACAAAGTTGAGGAAAGTAGTGGTGAGGAAGAACTAGATGGTCCCCCTGCTAAGGTGTTATGGTATTTGCCAATTATACCTAGGTTTAAAAGATTATTTGCCATAAAAGAAGATGCAAGAAACTTGACATGGCATGCAAATGGTAGAAAATGTGACAATCTTCTTCGACATCCAGCTGATTCTCCACAATGGAAAAGGATTGATGAAACCTTTCCAGAATTTGGTACAGAGCCAAGAAACTTGAGAATTGGATTAGCTATAGATGGGATGAATCCTTATGGAATTTTAAGTAGTAAACATAGTTCATGGCTAGTTTTGTTGATCATTTACAATTTGCCTCCTTGGTTATGCATGAAGAGAAAATATATGATGTTATCTATGATGATTTCAGGACCTCGACAACTAGGGAATGACATAGATGTATATCTTAGTCCTTTAATTGATGATTTGAAGATGTTGTGGGAAACAGGAGTGGATGTATTTGATTCATATCACGAAGTGAATTTCAGGTTACGTGCAATGTTATTTTGTACTATAAATGATTTTCCAGCATATGGTAATTTGAACGGTTATAGTGTGAAAGGTCATTTAGCGTGTCCTTTATGTCAAGAAGACACAAGTTATATCCAATTGAAACATGGACAACAAACTGCGTACAATAGGCATATAAAGTTTCTAGTTGCTAATCATCCATATCGTAAAATGAAAAAAGCATTTAATGGATGTCAGGAGAATGCAGTTGCATCAATACCACGCAATGGTGAACAAGTATATGAGCAAGTGAAAAATAATAATATTGTGTTTGGAAAGACCCAAAAGAAATCCAATGAGAAAAACATTTGGAAGAAACAGTCTATATTCTTCAATCTTCCTTATTGGTGTAAGTTGGAAGTTAGACATTGTATAGATGTGATGCATGTTGAAAAAAATGTTTGTGATAGTATAATTGGGACATTGCTTAACATAAAAGGAAAGATAAAAGATGGAATAAAAGCAAGACAAGATTTGGCAGACATGGGTATACGTTCTGAATTACATCCACAATCAGTTGGAAAACGCACTTACTTACCTCCAGCTTGTCATACTCTATCAAAGAAAGAAAAGAGAAGCTTTTGTGAGTGTTTACATGAGGTCAAAGTGCCATAAGGATACTCCTCAAATGTTAAAAGTCTTGTGTCTATGCAAGAGTTGAAATTAGTTGGTTTAAAGTCTCATGATTGTCATGTGTTGATGCAACAACTTTTACCAGTGGCTATTCGAAACATCTTACCAACTTCTGTTAGAATTGCTATTACTCGGTTATGTTTGTTTTTCAACGCCATTTGTAAAAAGGTAATTGATCCAAAAAAGTTAGATGAATTAGAAAATGAAGCAATTGTAATAGTGTGCCAGTTAGAAATGTATTTTCCCCCTTCATTTTTTGATATCATGGTGCATTTGATAGTCCATTTGGTAAGGGAAATTTGGTTATGTGGTCCAATTTTTCTTAGATGGATGTATCCCGTTGAGAGATACATGAAGATCTTAAAAGGATATGTGAAGAATCGAGACAGGCCGAAGCTTCTATTGTGGAAAGGTACATTGCAGTAAGAAGCCATTGAGTTTTGTTTAGGATACATGTCAAAATCGGAACCAATAGGTATTCCTAAGATGAGACATGATGGAAGATGTGAAGGTAAGGGTACTCGAAATTTAAAGATTAAAAATGTTAGTCGGAAAGAAGTTGACCAAGCACATTTATACATATTGAACAACACCGATGAAGTAATCCCTTACATATCACAACACATAACCGAAATAAAGGCAACACATCCACGAATGAATGAAAAATGGGTATTGAATGAACATAACAAAAATTTCCTTTCTTGGTTTAAAAAAGGGTATATGTTGAGATTAATGTTTCGAAACACTTTTGAGACTTGCTCGTGGGCCTAATAGTGATGTCATTACATTTGGTGGGTATGACATTAATAATTATTGTTTCTACTCAAAAATAGAAGATGATAAAGGTATAGTACAAAATAATGGGGTCACAATTCAAGTCGAATCTATGCATTTTTCTAGTTCTAAAGACAAAAATCCTATCACAAGCTTCTATGAGTTATTTTGGGGTCATACAAGAGATATGGGAAATTGATTATGTTACTTTTAGGGTGTCTGTCTTCAAGTGTAAATGGGTTGAAGGGAATACGGGTGTGCGAACAGATGACCTAGGATTTACTTTGGTTGATTTGAGTAAAGTTGGGTATAAGGATGAACCTTTTATTTTGGCATATCAAGCGAGACAAATATTTTATGTCAAGGATCCATGTAATGAGAGATGGTCAATTGTCCTTGAAGGAAGAAGCATGCACGGAATTCATGAAGATGAGTCTCTAGATATACATGAAACACCTTCATTTTCAAGTAGACCATTTGATGACATAGTTGACAATGAAGTTGATGACATACATGCAATTCGAAGTGATCATGATGAAGGGATATGGGAAAACATACCAACATAATAGGTGTTTATCTTCACATTTTCTAGTTCTTTTTATTCAAACTTATAAAGTATGTTGACTTCATATTGTTTTGTTTTTCAAGATATGTCGGATTCCACATTTGGTACTGGTAGTGGTAGTGGCAGTGGCAGGAGCGGAAGTGGAGGTAAATGTAGATCTGTCACTCGGTTAAAGGGGTTGGCAGCAAGGAGGGTAGCTAGAGAGAAAACTCAAGTTGAAGTTGATCCACGTTCGGTAAGGCATCTAGCCCAAATGTCGCTAAGTTTAAGAGCTATTTGGGACTACTAGCTCGACACCATGTTCCCATTACTACTCCATCTTGGGATGATGTAGAGGAAACCGAGAAGAACCTCATGTGGCGGGATGTTCAGGTATTTCTATATTTGTTGAATACTTTATATATCATTATTAATTGAATTTAACATTTATTGGTCATTTCATAGCAAAATTTTGATGTTCCTAACACTCGAGGTGATGAGGAAGAAGGTTTTATCCTCCATTGCCATTAGATGGAGGGACTTTAAGACTTTCTTGACACGGGAGTATGTATTTGGAAAGTTTCAAGAT